GATCTATTAAATTTACACCCCTTTATATATTATTAAATCTACTTTAGATCTACTCAGATCTACTATAATTAAAACTAAAAATGGATTAGATCTAACTTAAATTTAACGAGATAAAAAAATGGAAAAATAGAGATCTAATTAGATCCAAATTAAATCTAAATGGATATATAAAGTAGATCTAAATAAATATAAGCAGAGATCTATTAAATTTACACCCCTTTATATATTATTAAATCTATTTTATAGATCTACTCAGATCTACTATAATTAAAACTACTCAGATTTAGTTGGACTTGAGCAGATCCGAACAGATCTGAGGTGATCTAATATATAATAGATCTGAGTAGATCAAGAGTAGATCTAATAATAAATAAAAGTGTAAATTTTTCCATAGATTTACTTATAATTTATTTAGATCTACTTTATATCTATTTAGATTTAATTTGGATCTAATTAGATCTCTATTTTTCCATTTTTTTTTATCTCGTTAAATTTAAGTTAGATCTAATCCATTTTTTCTCGAGTAGTAGCTCTCGCATCGTTCTTTTTTAATTATTAAATTTATAAATAAAAATAAAGAGATTTTGAGAGAGGCGGTATTATTTTGTTTCTTATATCAGAGACATCAAATATAATATATCAGATAAAAAGAAAAACACATGTGTTTTGATAAATAAGTAGTTAAAAAAATTAATTAACGCCAGAGTTTATTATTCAGGTGACGGTAATTGAGTCTTCTACCCTATACAAATAATATATACATATATATGTTTTGTACTCTGTATTTTTATTTTGTACACGAATTTTTTTTTTTACTCTAATTTTAATATAAAACATATATATATATTAAATAGAGATATCATCAAAAAAGAAAATATCTTGGAAAAATGTTTTGCACCGATAAGAGAATCGAGATATCCGACATATTTATTTTTGTTATCATATATTGTCGTTACTTTTTTGTCACTATCGTGTCTTGGCTCGTATTTTTTCGGTCCTGACCTCTGCGACAGCCATATCGACGTATTCGTTGATAAGAGGTATCGCGTGCTCGATCATAAGTATTTCGGCGGGTGAGACTTTCGGCAGATCCAAGACTCTCTTGATACCTTCCGGACCCAGTTGCACCTCGTTGGTGAAGAATCGACAGATCGGAAGTGTGTTCGATCGCACGTAGGCGCAGGTAACGTGTTCGGATTTGTTCAAACCATTAGCGAGAGCAATTATCAGTTTCGCAGCGGCTGTTCCGGACGATAACGACGGGCCATCGTGTTTCGCAGTTATTTCATCGCTGACCCGAAACGATTGCAACAGAGTCTTACGTTGCGCCTACGAGATAACATCAATTATGATATATATACAGGGTGTCCCAGAATTGCCGTACAATCTCTCGTAGGCAGGTAGAAGGAGTAAAACTGAGTCGAAAAGTCCTGAACCATTTTTTC